CGCGTGCGGAGATGCCACTTTATGTGGTGTACCATGATTTGCTTCTCACTACTCGTGAGTATCTCGTGATGGTGACGGCTGTGGAGCCCTCTTGGCTGTCTGAGGCCTCTCGTGGGGTTTTCTGCACCAAGAGGGCACTGAGAGACTCCACGATAACAACAACAAGGACGATGATATCAGCCCCGGAAGGAACTACGGCCTTGGCGGCAGTCTCGTCCACACGTGAAGTACGTGCAGTTCCTCCCGCAAGAGGCATGAGACAACCCCCCGCAATGGTGGGGGCAAAGTTGTTAATGTCTCGTCTATCTTGGAAATAACATATAAAGGGAAGTGGTTCTTGTTTTTTTTTTTTAGAAATGTTCGTATTTGCTCGATTTATGGATTATCTTTTTTTTTCTTGATTCCTTATTTTTACTTTTTCTTCCAACAGATTCTTGTATTAGTTTTGGTTTACCAATTGAGAATTTTTGGTTCTGGTTATTATTGTTACTACTATTATTCTTATTTTTTCATCTTTGATATCTTGCTAGGAGTGTGTGTCTGTGTGTGTGACATAAGAAGTAATATAGTGGTGTTGGCTACACGCCAACCACCAGTAATCTTCAGCCTAAATAGCGCGATTCATCCACAACTTTGGGTTCCCTTATTCTGCATATATTACAGTACATCATAATTGTCATCTTCGGAAAATGAATCTACTGGATGGACTGTTCAGATCCTCCAATAATTGCACCATGAAAGAGATGCTTGCGTACCCTGTATTTATATGGCAAATTCCATGTGGAAGCGTTTCAATTAACAAGAAGGGAGGACTTGTTGTTGGTAACAGCACGGCGAAAAATATACGCGCCAATTGTCAGTATTTGGACAATACGTATAGCCACCGCTATATGATATTTAATTTTTCACCTCTCATGATGGATCTCGAGGAAGCGTGTAAATATGGTGAGTTAATGGACTATTCAAAGCAATCTATCGAGGATTTTAGACTACTGATGGAGCTCTGCTTTACTATTATGAAATGGACATTGGCCGCTGATCAGCAGGACCACTACGCGGTGCTGACTTTTCTCGAGGAGAGCCGTTCTGTGCCGCACCCGAACTATGCTGCGATGATAGCCACCTGTTACCACATATTTGCGGGTGGACAGTCAAATGGTGGGAGCTACACACTTGAGTTTATGGAAGGACAGTTGGGCATTCGCCGCAGTATGTACCATGCGGCCTCTCAGGAAAGCTACGTGAACTACTTCCAGCTCCTTTTGGACCTCCCAATTGTGCCCAACACGCAGCGGCTACGACTGACGCGGGTCTCACTGCACAATATGGACCTGAAGGGTGTCAAACTCGGCCTGCATGTTGAGTATGAGGGCAAAACATCTGTCTTTAGTGACCCCACTGCGTGGGTGGAGGAGGTGGAGAATGAGGAAGATGGCACTGTGCGGCTTTCACTCAACACACAGGTGTGTCTTTTTGGTGACTTTTCCGTTTCGCTGCTGCGTTACGAACCCCTGCCACCGCCCCTACAAGGGCATGGAGAGCCACCGAGGAGAGTACGCTTGCTTGCCCGCTGTGCGTTCAGTACGGTGTTTCTCCACCAGGAGACTCATCAAATTCGTGCCCGAGATATGGATTATGCCACACAAAATAACCTCCCAAGCGATTCCTTCATGTTGCTACACTTTGAAAAAGTGGATCCTCTATCAGGGGATGATGCGTATATTGGACAAATAACGCAACGCGTTGAACAGTCCCCACGGCACCAGATGTTTCTTCTTGGGCCTGACCCTCTTCCCTCATCAAATCGCTATAATAATTATGCCAGTAGTAATCGGGACGATGACTACTCTACGAATGGTGCCCGCTGTCGAGCTGATGAAATGTGCCGTCAGAATTGTGTCTGTGGAGAAAACATAGACCGCCCATTGTCGCGCACTATAACTCTGGTGACTCTCCCGGAAGAGGAAAAACGGCGTTCCCAAGAAGATTATGAGGTGGTGTCCTTACCTGATAAAAATAAGGATATACAGCAGAGTGAATCTTCTAATAATGTGACATGCGAGTCTTTGGTAACACCATCCGTGACTACTGGCAATGGAGTATCTTTACCCTCTTATGGACCTACTACACGACTTAGTAGATCAGAAAGAAGACGACAACGTGGAATACGTTTTCGAAGACGTGGTGGTTATTATGGTTATCGTGACTAAGTGCAGCATATGTTCTATGATTTTCTTTTTTTTTTTTTTGAAATGGAAATGAAGAGTCACCTTTGCTACTGGGGTATTGTTTTGTAGTTAAAGTTGAAAAAGGTGTTCTTAGATACATTGCTTTATATGATGAAATTCTTGGAAATAATAATAATAATATCTTTATTTGATGTGTCGGTTCTTACAGAGCGCAGAAAATGATAGTGTGGGACTTATTTCACTATTATTACGGGGGAGGGGGGAGTGTGAGAATACTGTGACATGATTTCATTTTATGACTACTAGTTCTGCTCGTGTAGAATATTTAATAAAATATCAGATGATTGGAAGTTAACTATATTTTGCTAAATTTGAAGTCAACAAAGGTCTTGCTTCATAGACAAGTTATGTTAAGTTCTTTCAAGATATCTTGAAATCGCTTAGATGTGATGCTCAATGCTGGTGTGACATGCTATATCCATCCCTCCTCTGCTGTTTGTACGCGTGCGGAGATGCCACTTTATGTGGTGTACCATGATTTGCTTCTCACTACTCGTGAGTATCTCGTGATGGTGACGGCTGTGGAGCCCTCTTGG